GCCCGCCCTGGCCCGTGGCGGGGTCGGGCGCCGACCACATGAGCAGCGCGGCCTGGGGCGCCCGCGGGAAGTTGGGGTCGGGCCCCGACGCCAGCTGTCCCCCGGAGAAGCTCCTCAGGGCGTCGCTCCACGAGTGCGAGGAGCCGTAGATGGCGCTGCCGTCCAGCCAGCCGCTCACCTGGTTGGTCTGGGGGGGGGGGAAGGTCAGGGCCGGGCAGGACTGGACCCCAGGGGCAAAGGGGGGGACCCCCAAGTGCTAAGGCATGCCCAGCTCCCGGTGTGCGCGTCCTCACCAGGTCCCGGGGGTTACTGGGGCTCTGTCCGGTCTCGGGGTCCCAGCGGCTCCTCTGGAAGGGCAGCACCACGTCCCCGCGCCGCTGGGGGTCAAACACGGGGTCTCCGGGCGGGATGCGGATGTTGAGGAACTCGGCGGGGCAGCCGGGGGTCTCCACGCTCACCAGGTCGGACAGCACGTGGTAGCCTGGAGCAAACCCCCACCGTCGGGCCCTGCGCCGCCCGCCCGACCCAGGGCCAGGGCCAAAGCACAGAGGTCCCCGCTCTGTGGGCCTCAACTTCTTTTTTGTTGGGGGGCGGGGAAGGGGATCGGTCATGGGGCTTGAACTCGGGGCCTGGGCGCTGTCCCTCAGCTCTTCAGCTCAGGGCGAGTGCTCTACCACTTGATCCACAGCGCCGCTTCCAGTTTTGGGGTGGTTTATTGGAGATCAGAGTCTCCTAGACTTTCTGCCTGGGCTGGCTTTGAACCATGATCCTCAGCGCTCAGACTCCTGAGTAATAGCTAGGATGACGGGCGTGAGCCACTCGGCACCTTGCTGGGCCTCAAACTTTCTCCACGGTAGAAGCATGGAGAATCACAAGGATGGAATGAATAGCAAGCCCTCACCCCTTCTTCCCTTGAGCAAATCACTTCCCTGCCCCTCTGTGCCTCAATACTATTATGGGGGGGGGTTCAGTGACCCGCCTGGGGTTTTGGAACAGAGATGTGGGGGTGGCAAATGTCCCTTGCGCAGACAGACACTCCAAAGCCTTCCAAGAACGAGGAGGCAGAGCAGACATGCAGTTTGGGGATCCGGGCTGGTCTCTTGAAGACTGGCAAGGGAACCCCAACGTCCCCACCCCTCCCGACCCCTCACTCCCCAACTCCCACCTCCGGGTGTTAAATGGCTTCCCTCCCCACCTCACCCCCTCTTTTTTTTTTCTTTTGCGCTCACCATAGAAGACGCCCAGCACCGTGCGGTTGCGCAGCGACGCCATCCCGGCTCGGCCCCGAGCCACCGCATCGCTCAGCCGGCGAGGGTTGGGCAGCAGCGGCTCCTCCAAGGCCTGGTAGACGCCATCCGCGTAATGGGCCGGGACTAAGCGCTGCAGCCGCGAACCTGGAGAAGGCAAAGGGCTAGGTTCTGTGGAGCACTGGGTTACCCCCCCCCACACCATTCATGCATTCGCCCCCCCTTCCAGCCCTCGACCTTTTCTGACATGTCCCTTTGGGGGGGATAGAGGGGTTGGGGAGGTAGGAATGAGGTGCATTAGAAGCTGGACTGAGTGCCCATTACCTCATCTCACATTCCACAAGCCAGGGCTGCTGTGCATCCCCCCCGGCTTCTGCAACCCCCCCAAAACACCCATCCCAACACCCCGACATACCAACCGCCCCGCGTTCATGGTGCCTGAGATTGTTGAACCAGCCGTCATAGCGCTGCACTTCCCAGGCCAGTGGGGGCGTGTCCTGGCCCCCTGGGGGGGCACCCAGAGATATCCTTTTAGCACTGTGTGCCCCCCCAGACCCCTTCCACCCTCCCGTCATTTGGACCCAACATCCCAGACTGAGCAGCCGCCTGTCTGCACATCTTTCTTCCTATACCCCCAGCATGTACCTCTAAAATTAGGATGCTTACCCTCCGCGGGTCCAGTCAGCAGAGTTCCCAGGAATATCAGGGCTCTTGCTCTCAGCATGGTGTCCCTGAGTCTTGGAGGGGAGTTGAGGGGAAAGGATTTGAGAGGGGTGCACACACACACACACACACACTTATGTAGTCAGCCTTGTGGGGGGAGAGCCAGGAGTTTCTACTTCTGGGGCATCAAGAACCTACATCTGCTAGGGCTGGGAAGGTGGCTCAGTGGTCCAGTGCCTGCCTAGTGTGCATGAAGCCCTGGGTGCCATTCTTCAGTACCACATCAACAGAAAAAGCCGGAAGTGGTGCTGTGGCTCAAGTAGTAGAGTGCTAGCTTTGAGCAAAAGAGGCTTAGGGACAGAGTTCAAGCCCCAGGTGAGAGAGAGACAGAGACAGAGAGACAGAGACAGACAGAGACAGACAGAGACAGAGACAGAGAGAGGAGAATCTACATCTTCACTCTTTCCAGGAGAGCTGGTTCTTTTCCTACCTTCACCCCCGCCCCATCCCAGGGCTAAAACTTCAATCACAGAAACCCACTGGGAACCATCTTGGACCCCATACTAGTCCTAGACAGCACTGGCCTAGTTTTCTAGGAGGTTCTAGCCCAAAGCCTGGGAACCACCCGCCCCCGTCCCTCCCCACCCCCTATCCCAGTTCGCTAGGTATTACTTCTCCTGCTCATCAGAAGAACTGGCAACCCAGGACTGGCCCCTTCCCCCTCCACGCGCACCCCATGTGCAAAGAATACCCATGCATGGAAAGCGAGGGCTAAGGAAGACCAATAACCGTTCTGCCCTCCCCACCCCACCCGCCTCTCACCCCTAGGTCAACCCCGTCTCCCGGCTGCGTGCGGCGCCGCCGGTGTCCACTTGGACTGTGCAGCGGGTGTGAATGTCTGCACCGCGGGACTCTCCCGCCTGCGGGGTGGGCGGGGCTCCCGTCCTATTTGCATACCCGCCCTTCATTTGCATAGCGCCTGTCCCGGGCTCAGACCCCGTATAAAGACAAAAAAACAGGTGCGGGTCTCCCCAGGGGACTTCCAACCGGAGCGCAGCCGCTTGGGAGAACTAACCCCGGAGCGCAGCCGCTCGGGAGAACTAACCCCGGAGCGCTGGGAGGGTTTTGGGGGTGGGGGACCTCTCTCTCTTTCTCTGCGCTCAGACTGAGCTCGCTCACACTTGATTGGCTTTTGTCCCCACACTCCAGCTCTCTCTGGGGGCGCAGAGCTCTCCCCCCCCAACCCACCCCCCACCCCCGCTTGCAGGATGACCCTGTGGAACGGTGTGTTGCCTTTTTACCCCCAGCCCCGGCATGCTGCTGGCTTCAGCGTCCAACTGCTCATAGTCATTCTGGTATTCCTGGCCTTGGCTGCCAGCTTCCTCCTCATTTTGCCTGGGATCCGTGGTCACTCGGTAAGAGGGGTGTTAAAAGCTGCGGGGAAGGTGGGGGTGTTTGGGTGAGTGGGGGCCGGAGGAGGGGGGGAAATATTAGGGAGTCCTGCCTAAAACCCAGGATAACCAAGACCACTGCAAGGATCTCCAGAAAAATTAAACATAAGGTCAGGAGAAACGAATTCAGAAATCTAATTGGATCAAAAACAACTCCCCCACTCCCACCCCCACCCCTTTTTCTTTTTTTTTTTATTTGTGAAGATAGTGAACAGAGGGGTTACAATTACATGGGCAGGATAATGCGTACATTTCTTACCAAGCATTGCAGCCTCCTCCTTTTGTTTACCCTTCACATCCCTTCCCAGCCCACCCCTCCCCCCCAATCCCAATCTTTCTCCTTCCCCCCTTCCCCCCCACCCCTTTTTCTTAAACCAAGAGCAGGGGGAGTTCCTGATCCAAGGTTTCCTGGAAAGGAACCCCAGCTGTGGCAAAGAGTGGGCACCCAGTCTAATAACCAGCTCCATGATCTCCCTCTACTGCGATCAAACTATCCTGTCCTGCAGGTGACAGCTTTCCTGCCAAGAGGACAGACCCCTGTGGCTGAGACTGATATATTCTCCTTTGGTCTTGGCCCAAAGGAGGGGTTTGGCTGTACATGGGTGTCCCATTCTTAGGGACTAAGAGGATCCTACACAGGATTTTTAAGTTGTAGCAGACGACAGTCATTGTCTTAGACTTTCCCTTCCTCCAGAATCGAGGTTGTGCTTTTTCTTTTTTTCTTCCAAATACGAGACCACCCTCAATCTTAGTGCCTGTCAATCTTTTTATTTTAGTTGCCAGGGAACCATTGTACTTAGTAATACCTATATTTCTGCCTCATTTATTTGGCCACCAAGCCCTGGGGCCTCCCTCTTTTTTTTGGGGGGGGTGATCCTTGCTTTCTTTCCTAATACTTCTGAACTCACTGAGCCTCACCAAGCAGTGGCTGGGGAGAAGTTAATTGGGGGCCAGGTGCCAGATAGCTGGGGGTGTAAAAGTGCTCAGAGGCAGGGTGGATCTGGAAATTGGACACCAGGTAAGGTGGGAGCATATGACCAAACAACAACAACAAAAGCACCCTCAAAATGTCAGTGGTCCAGGAAAAGCACATGTTGACATCAGCGGTAAAAGGTAGGGAGTGTGACTGAGATTGAAGTGGCAGGGAGTGGAGGGAGAGGCCTTGGGGGCTGACTCGAGTGTCTGTTCTGCAGCGCTGGTTCTGGTTGGTGAGAGTTCTTCTCAGCCTGTTCATAGGAGCAGAAATTGTGGGTGAGTATGTGATTCAGCCCGTGGGGAGGGGGAAACGGGTAAGGAATGGGGTGGGAAGAGGGTACCTGGGGAAATGGGATCTGCTTCCCTTCCCACTTCCGACACTTTTCTTTATCCACTCTTGAATATGCAGTTTTTTTGGTCTTGTATTTTGTTTGGTTTTGGAAGCACTGGGATTTGAACTCAAGGTTGTGCTTGCTAAGCAGTGGTCCGCCACAGAAGCATGCCCCTCCAGCGCCCTCCCCCTCTTTTTTGGCACCAGTTATTTTTGACCTAAGGTCTTGCTTCTTGCCTGAACCACGATCCATCTATTTTAGGCTCTCTGTACTAGCTAGGATGGCTGTTGTAGGTTGCCACCCCAAGAGTCTTTTGGTTGCATTGGGCTTTTCTGAACAGCTGGCCTCCAGCTGTTCTCATTCTCCTAAGCAGTGGCTAGGATTGCCAGTGTGTGAGGCAGGAGCACCTGGCTTGTGTTAGTTTGTTTCTTTGAGACCTGGACTCACTGTCACCCCTGGTCTGTCTGTCCTGCCTCAGTAACTGGAAAGCTGAGATGGCAAGTGTGTGACACACGCCCCCTCTGCAGTACTTACCCTTCTGCTCTTCTCTGTGCTTCTGTTGGAATCCCCTAGACTCCTCCCCCAGCTCCTTGGACCTCCTAGACCCCCCAGTTCTCTGGACCCCCTAGACCCAGCTCTCTTCTGTTTCATTACTCTCCTAAATTCCATTCCCCCATCACCACTACCACCACAGCTGTGCACTTCAGTGGAGACTGGTTCGTGGGCAGCGTGTGGACCAACACATCGTACAAGGCGTTCAGTGTGGAGCGTGTGCAAGCCCACGTCGGTCTGCACGTGGGACTGGTGGGCATTAACATCACCCTCAGAGGTGAGGCCATGGTTGAGGGAGGGAAGGTGGGAGGGAGGGGTAGCTGCCCTCTTCCCAGCCCTCAGATTGGGGGGAAACACACACACACAGACACAGACACACAGACACACCTCAGCACCACCAAGCCTTTGGTATTGGTAGAGTTGTGATTTCTCCCAACCATAAACCAACCCATCTGCATCCCCCCCCTCCCCACCCCACCCCCGGGGGCGCCCCACCCAATGGAAATCAGTTTGGTTTCCGGGTCCATGACCTTGTACGGGGTGTGTGTGTGGAGGGGGGTCCCCCTCGTTTGACCCCGCCCCTCCCTCCCCTCCCCGCCCTTGCAGGAACCCCAGTGCAGCAGCTGAACGAGACCATCGACTACAACGAGAGGTTCACCTGGCGTCTGGACGAAGACTACACCAAGGAGTACGTGAATGCCCTGAAAAAGGGGCTGCCGGACCCCGTGCTCTACCTGGCAGAGAAATTCACCCCGACCAGCCCCTGCGGGCTGTACCCCCAATACCACCTGGCGGGACACTACGCGGCGGCCACGCTGTGGTGAGCGCGGGGCGGTGTGCGGGGCCGGGTGTGATCACCGACCGATCATCGATCGCGGGACCCGATCGCAGGACTCGGTCCCCCCCCCCCAGGGTGGCCTTCTGCTTCTGGATCGTCGCCAACGCGCTGCTGTCCACGCCGGCCGCGCTGTACGGCGGCCTGGCGCTGCTGGCCACCGGCGCCTTCGCGCTCTTCGCCGTCTTCGCCTTCGCCTCGGTCTCCTCCGTGCCGCTCTGCACCTTCCGCCCGGGCTCCGCGGCGCTCACGCCTCGCTACGGCGCCTCCTTCTGGGTCACGCTGGCCACGGGTGAGAACCCAAGGGCTGGGGGGTGGGGGGGGGAAGAGGAGCGCGCACGCATGCGCATTTGGAGAGGGAACTCCCAGGGATAGCCCTCCCCATCCCCCCCCCACACACACAAAAGGGGAAGGAGTGGGGGACAGGGCCCCTGGTTTCCAGCCTGGGGTTTTCCCTGCTGTGTCCGCTTCACGCCTGTGTCCCTCCTCCCCTTCCTGTCCCCCTCCCTCCCCCTCCCCCCATACAGGCCTCCTGAGCCTCCTCCTGGGAGGGGCGGTGGTGCTGCTGCACTACACCCGGCCCCGTGTTCTTCGCATCCTTCTGGATCAAAGTGTCCAGGGCTACAGTAACCCGCCTTTCACCCTCAGCACCCCGCAATTGGGGATCACCACTGCCTTGTAAAGGAAACACAGTGCTGGACAGCTACTCAGTGCCTGGCCAGGTCTCTGGGGCAGTCAGTGGGGGGGGGGGAGAGGAGGAGGGATGGGGGAGGAGAGCAAGGTGCTGTTGGTTCCTCACCCCCCCCCCTTTGCCAGTGGACATGCTGCCCACATGCAGCAGGGTGGGTTGTAAGTAAACTTTATGATTATTTAAAAGGTTGTGTGTGTGTGCGTGTGTGTGTGTGTACTGAGGCTTGAACTCAAGGCCCTACCTAGCCTTTTTGTTCTGCTCTAGGTTGGCACTCTACCATTTGAGCCATAGCTCCACGTGGTGTGTGTGGGGGGAGAGTTGATGGTTAATTGGAGATAAAAGTCACACACACCTGGTGACACACACCTGTAATCCTAACTACTCAGGAGGCTGAGATCTGAGGATCACGGTTCAAAGCCAGCCCAGGGCAGGAAAGTCCATGACACTATTTTTTTTTTTTTTGTCGGTCGTGGGGCCTGAACTCTGGGCCTGGGCGCTGTCCCTCAGCTCTTCAGCTCAAAAGCCAGCGCTCCACCACTTGAGTCACAGTGCCACTTCCGGCTTTTTTCTGCTTCTGTGGTGCTGAGAATTCAAACCCAGGGCGTCATGCATGTGAAGCAAGCACTCTACCACTGAGCCACCTTCCCAGTCCCTCCATGAGACTATCTCAGGTAAACCACCAAAAAACAGAAAGTGGAGCTGTGACTCAAGTGGTAGGGCAGTTTCCTTAAGCTGAAGAGCTGAGGGACAGCATCCAGACACAGAGTTCAAATTCAAACCCCACAGCCAAAACCAAAAAAAAAAAGTCTCACACAGACTTTCCTGCCCAGGCTGGCTTCAAACCACAATCCTCAGATCTCAGCTTCCTGAGTAGCTGGAATGACAGGCATGAGTATTAGCACCCAGCCTTTAATTTTTTTTTTTCTTTCCCCTGTCACTTTCCATGGCTTCTTTGGGTTCTTGGAATCCACGTGCCTCAAGAGGTTTAGCTGGGCCGGAAACAACTTTTACTTTGCAGTCTCTAATTCTGCGAATCTCATTCTCTTTGGAGAAATCGAAAAACAAAAATGAAACAAAACAAACCAGAACAAAACAAAACAAAACAAAAAAAAACTGAAACAGAAAGGCTCTGGGAGGAGCGCCCTCTAGTGAGGCCAGATAGGAATCAACCGGCGCCAGCTTCCTGAGCTGCCCTGGCCGGATTGGGTAGGGTTTAGTGACCAGGCAGTGACTTTCCTATTCTTTCTCTTGGCCAAGCTGAATGGACTGGGAAAGGAATAGGGTTTGGAATTGATTACTAATTCTTCCCAGTTTTGTTTTTTTGTGAGGGGGAAGACTGTCTTAGAGCCAAGGTAAATGCCAGTCAGGTATAAAAATATACATCTTAGGATTTATTTATTTTTCTTAAAAAAAAAATCCTTGGCAAATCTTACAATCTCATTTGACATATCTGGGAACTGAACTGAGGCACAAAGTGAATGTGGAACAGCTGGTTAATGTTAGACCCGGCCTGAGATGTGTGGTCTCCTCTTTCCAGTGCAGACCAAGAGGTCACTTAGAAGAAAAGGTGATCCAGAAAAAAAAGAAAGAAAACAAAAGTAGCTGAGGGCCAAGAAGGACCAAAAGAAGATCACTTTGGAACCGCTCTGCCTCCCCACACATTCCTTATTTCGAGAAAGCTGGGTTTCACTGAAGGACACCTTGAAGAGAGGAAGCATCCAGGAAAAGTGCATTGCTGTGCAAAAATAAGAGCCACTCTCGCTTGGTTTGATCATAGCCACAGGGCTTCTGGGTAGGAGCCACATCTGCTCAGTACCTTAGGGCTTTTGTTTTGTAGAGCCTCCTTTTTTCTTTCCTTCACCTGTAGGTTGGAGCTGTGGGTCCAATACAACCCTCAACCCCTTCCCTCCCCCCTCACCCCCCATTGATTGTTCTGGTGAATCCTGAGGGCTCCATGATTTGGAGAGGAATTCCTCTCCATGTCTGGAGTTACAGGGCACAATCGGAATCTTTGGGGTGTTCCTCCTTACAGCATGCCTCAGAGGGAGTCTCTGACAGGGGAATGTCCTGGGGTTCAGGACTGTCAGTCACCGCCCTGTAGCGGGGAGTCAGGAGTTCTCCTTCTTCGGGACTCCACTCCAGCACAGGGTCCTCCGCACTCTGGTTGAAGAAAGCCTTCAGCCTCTGAGGCTGCATCTTATGGGCCACCGCCAGGATCAGGCCCAGCAGCATACACAGCAGTCCTGAGGATGAGGGCCACAGGGGCTTAGCTCTAGGAATACCTTCCCAAGGAGATCTCATAGGAACATCAATTTTAAGAGAGACCTGGGCCCACCCTCAGGGTAATGAGGGCTCTGAGAAGGGACTGGCTGGCTTCCAGTCATATGACTGAGGAGGGTCTAGTGTTCTGCATTTCCAGATTCGCAGCCCAGTCATCTTTTAGTTGAATCCCAGTTGCAGAGGGAGAGACAGCAGAGGAGAAAAGAAGAGGGAGAAGGATGAAGAGGAAGAAGGAGAGAAGGAGAAGGAAAGGGAGGAGGAGAAGAGACCGAGTTTGCCTCTAAAAACAGGAAGAAGAGGAGAAAAGAGGTAAATAGGGACACAAAGGGTTAGACGGGGGGCGGGGGGGATGAATAAAACTGTAGGACAAACTGATTTAGGGCTATGTGAGAGGAGACATGGAGCTGGAATTCTTTTGTTTGTTTTTTGACAGTCGTGGGGCTTGAACTCTGGGCCTGGGCGCTGTCCCTCAGCTCTTCAGCTCAAGGCGAGCGCTCTACCACTTGAGCTACAGCGCCACTTCCGGTTTCCTGGTGGTTCACTGGAGATCAGAGTCTCATGAACTTTCTTGCCCGGGCTGGCTTTGAACCTATGATCCTCAGATCTCAGCTTCCTGAGTAGCTAGGATGACAGGCGTGAGTGTCCAGGGAGGATCTAGGTAAAAAGGGACAGAGCGAGAAGATACAGGGAAGCAAGCATATAAGGAAGAAGAGGAAATGGCATCAGGAGGAGAAATCCAGGAGTTGAGGGCTCTGGCTTTTAAGAGGGCAGAAGTTATCTCAGCCTCTAGAAGCAGCCTTCTCAGCCCTGAGTCCCACAGTGCCTGTCATTAGGAGCGGGTCTCACCTGTGGCCAAGGTGGTCCAGAAGGCAGGACCGTGGTGAACTCGCAGCACAGCGGTGCCCAGGCGGAGGGGGCAGGGTGGGGTGAGTGACGTGGTGGTGGAGAAGAAGAGCAAGGCCAACAGCTGGAAGATGCCAGTAGCCAGCAGCATGTGGCCACCATAGACCAGCACAGGCATGGACAACATCACATTGGTCAGCAGCCAGCAGAGGAATGATACCCTGAAGAGCCAGGACTCAGTGAGAACAGGCCTGGGCACCTGTATCTGCTGGTGAGACTAAAGGGACCCATGTGGAGACTCAGGGACTTAAGGAGGAGGAGATTCCTGCCTGTGGGCTTCCCAACCAGCCACGCATGGCGACCCATAGACCAGCCCCATCCCATTCAGAATGCTCACACACACAAGGAGAGATGGAAGAAACGGGCTTCCTGCGTCTAGTCTGGGAGGACTTATCTCTCTCCTTCCATGGCTCACCACAGCATGACTGAGGCATAGTGTCCGGCCAGGCGGTACTGGTTGTGCAGGCCACATGGACTTCGAGGGGTGAACTTCTCGGCCAGGTAGAGCACGGGATCTGGTAGGCCTTTCTCCAGTGCCTTGGCATAGGCCTCGGTGTAGGCGCCCCCTAGAGGCCAGTTGAATTCCTCGTTGTAATCGATGGTCTCATTGAGCTGCTGCACCGGAGTTCCTGGGGAATGTAACAGTTCATCTCCACTGGGCAGAAATCCAGGGGTTCATCACTCAACAGAGAGATGACAGCTTTGGTTCTACCCTTCCCATCATCCCTCCAACACACACACACACACACACACACATAAGTACCGTCCCTTACCTATGAGTGTAATGTTGACTCCTCTGAGCCCGACCTGCAGCCCCACGCGAGCGCTGATCCTCTCGGGACTGAAGGCTTTGTATGTTGTGTTGGCGCTGACCTGGCCCACAGACCACTCAGAGCTGAAATTCACAGCTGGAGAAAGTCGGGGGGGGGGGAGGCAGGGTGTGGAGGAGTTGGGTATTTGGGAACTCATGGAGGTGGAGGTTAGCCAATAAGGAGAGATACAAGGGCTTCGTGTCTGTATGGGCCATCATCATTGCAGACCCATAAACTAGCCCAGGGTTTGGCTCCTAGGAAGTCAAACCACCATTGTTGGGAAAGAATACTTGGGTTAAAAAATCCAAGATCTAAGCCAGGTACCAGTGGCTCATGCATCTCCCTAGCTACTCAGGAGGCTATGATCTGAGGATCAAGGTTCAATGCCAGCCTGGGCAGGAAGTCGGTGAGACTCTTATCTCCAATAAATCACTCAGAAAACTGGAAGTGGTGCTGTGGCTCAAGTGGTAGAGTGCTCGCCTTGAGCTGAAGAGCTGAGGAACAGCGCCCAGGCCCAGAGTTCAAGCTCCACGACCACCACCACCAAAATCCAAGATCTACAACTCTGTATACATTGCCCCAACTCAGGAACATTCACTGAGGTGCAGGGGAACAGGGGGCAGGGGTAGGAGAGTATCCTAGCATATATCCTAATGGACAAGTGCAGATAGCTTCAACATAGACTCTATCTCTTCTTCCTGCCTAATCACCAAAGCCAAGCCAGCCGCCAGCCCTCCCTCATTTTTTCCACTCCTGTCCCCATCCCGGGAAGTCTTCTGGCCACTGACCCAAATATTGAGGAGAGGCAACCACAGAAGGGCTCCCTGCCACCTTCTCTGGGCAAGTGAATGAGTGCAGGGACAAGAGGGATGTAGCTGGATCACCAGCAGAAATGGAAAACCCCTTCTGGAAAAACCAGGAGAGGCAAGCAGGCTGCCGAGCGAGCGAGCTACAGGAGACAGGGACGCCTGCCCACGTCGTCATCATCCGGGCTTGGCACTCACCCAGGATCACAGCACCGACGAATAAGCTGGTCACCACCCGGAACAGCCAGAACAGCCTCTGAGTCACAGAGAAGGCGGGCTCAGGAAGCAGAGCCTTCTTCCCTTCCTCACCCTTCCTCTTCCCCCATTTGGGAAGAGGTAGGGATTCCATTGAGATCAGACCACACCAGCGTGGACAAGAATTCTCCACTGGGGGTCTGGGAAGGTGGCTCAGCGGTAGAGTTCTGGCCTCGCATGCATGAGGCCCTGGGTTCGATTCCTCGGCACCACATAAGCAGGAAAAGCCAGAAGTAGCGCTGTGGCTCAAGTGGCAGAGTGCAAGAGCTAGGGACAACGCCCAGGCCTAGAGTTCAAGCCTCACAACCGACCAAAAAAAGAATTCTCTATTGGATTTCTGAATGGGGATGGGGAGGGAAGGGGAGATGCAACTCCCTGCTAAGGGTGGTGGTGATGTTTTTCTCAGCACTGGAGTCTTTTCCTTAAATCTGGTTGTGGACAGAGTCTGTATCTTATATTCTGAGGTTGAGGTGTCTCTGGGGCTTGGGTCTCCAGGGCTGGATTTGTTTCTTACCGTCTTGCCCCGGATGCCAGGCAGGATGATGATAAAGATGACCAAAGCAGTCAGGAAGATAGTGATGATGACAGCCAAGGTGGTGTCCACGGGGAAGATGGGTTTGGGGCCAGCATAGAAAGGGAATGTGTGCCCCAGAGCAGCCATTTTGCTGGAGGTGATTCTGTAACAACAGACATTTATAGAGTGCCTTCTATGGACCAGGCACATTGTGTGTGTGTGTGTGTGTGTGGTCTACCACTTGAGCCTCAGCTCCACTTCTGGCTTTTTTGCTGGTTGATGAGACACCAGTCTCTCAGGTTTGTCTGCCTGGTTGGCTTCAAACCGTGATTCTCAGAGATCTCAGCCTATTGAGTAGCTAGAGTTACAGGTGTGAGCACTTGGTCTCCAGACATTATTATTATTTTTTCTTTTTTGTGGTGGAGCTGCAATGGAGAATAAACTAGACTAGTTCCTCAGCTCTGGAGCTCACCTTTTTGGGCCTTACCCTTCAGTCTTCCTTGCTCCATCATTTTTTTGTTTGTTTTGATCTGATTAAAGTTTTGGCAGCTCACCTCTGCTATCCTGTGCTCTCTTCCTAACCCCTAGTTTCCTCAGTCAGTGCCAACATTACCGCTGAAGCTTCCCATTTCTTCTCAGATTACTTAAGAGATACAATTCTCTAGCACAAGCAGATAGATCACAGAACAAACAAACAAAAAAGAGCTGTAGTAACTGTTGAGTTAAAGCCTTAGGGTAAAAGAGAGAGCCTATTACAAGATTAGCTTTCTTCCTTTGTTCCCAAAGCAACAGAAGCCAAACAGCTCTGCTAAGTATACAGTCCCACTGCACATTAGAGGACTGACTCCCAGACCCGGCCCCGCCCACAGCAGTCAGACCAAGCTTTCTCAAGCATTCTGACTCCCCTTGTGATGAATTCAGAACAACTGAACTCTAGTTCACCTGAATAAGCTCTGAAGGAGCCCCTGCCCACCCCCTCCACCCCCCCACGAGGTAGTGCTGGGCCAGATGTCTTCCAGAGGCTCACATCAGTCACATTGACCCTTCTCTCACACTTGAATTCCGAGCTCAAGTTGCAGCTCATTAACTGGTTTTCTCTGCCAGAATACTGAGCTTGGAACTTATTTGTCCCATTACAGACAGAGTACTGGGGAAATGGAACCTGGACACACAAGGCCTACTATTATTTTACATACAAAAAAGAAAGAGAAAGGAAGGAAGGAAGGAAGGAAGGAAAGAAGGAAGGGAGGGATGGAGGGAGGGAGGGAGGGGAGGAGAGGGGGAGAGGAAAGAGAGGAGGGAAGGAAGGAAGGGAGGGAAGGAGAGAAGGAAGGAAGGAAGGAAAGAAGGGAGGGAGGAAGGAAGGAAGGAAGGGAGGGAGGGAGAGAGGGAAGGAGGGAAGGAGGAAGGGAGAGGGAGGAGGAGAGGGGGAGAGGAAAGAGAGGAGGGAAGAAAGGAAGGAAGAAAGGGAGGGAAGGAGAGAAGGAAGGGAGGAAGAAAGGGAGGGAGGGAAGAAAGTGAAAGAGAGAGAGAGAGAGAGAGAATTACTACTTAAACCATGACAGCCATTACTGGCAAATCACACCTCATTTCAGAAATGTTAAAATGTGAAGGGCACTGGTGGCTCACACCTGTAATCCTAACTACTCAGGAGGCTGAGATCTGAGGATCATGGTTCGAAGCCAGCCAGAGAAGGAAAGTCTGTGAGACTCTTATCTCCAATAAAACCACCAGAAAACCAGAAGTGGTGCTGGAGCTCATGTGGTAGAGCGCTAGCCTTGAGCTGAAGAACTGAGGGACAGCGCCCAGGCCTATAGTTCAAGCCCCATGACCCACAAAAAAAGAAATGTTAAAATGTGAGCTTGGGGCGGGGGGGGGAGGGGGGGAGGACTTTAGCACCAATGGTCCAAGCTCTGTTCACTCTGCAGTGTCATCTCAGCAAATCTCTTGCTGAGGTGCCATAATGTAATCATGCAGCTCATTTCTTGGCAATATTTGAATTTGAACTCAGAGCCTTGAGCTTGCTAGGTAAGCACTCTAGCACTTGAGTCATGCACACACAGTTTTAAGTGATATGAAATGTAAGCTGTGGAATCCAGAAGCTCCATAGGGTTTGAATTTCACCTCTGCTTCTCCCAATTTCCATGACCTCTACAGAGACCTAGCTTTAGTGAGAACTGGGAAAAGTCATGTCTGCTTCACAGGGTGAATTAGTTTGAATATGGAACATGTGAAGAATATTACAAATAAGCTGTCAGTTGGGAAGAAGAGGCTTTTTAGTTACACCATTTAAAAAAATAAATTTTTGGTCATGGGACTTGAACTCTGGGCCTGGGCACTGTCCTTGAGCTCTTCAGCTCTACCACTTGAGCCACAGTGCCACTTCTGGTTTTCTGGTGGTTAACTGAAGATAAGAGTCTCATGGACTTTGCTGCCTGGGCTGGCTTTGAACCATGATCCTCAGATCTCAGCCTCCTGAGTAGCTAGGATTACAGGCGTGAGCCATCAGTGTCTGGCTACTCCATCTTTATCTCCTCCTCTAGCAGGTCTTGGATAGACTCCTGAGACAGTTCTGGTCTGGGTGCAGTTCTTCCCTCATTAACATGGTAGCATGGGACAGGTAAAGCTCTCCCTCATTTTCAACTAGATATGATCATCTTCAGGTCCCTTTTAGTGAGTTTGCTTGTTTTTCTGTCAATTGTGGGGCTTGAACTCAGGGCCTGGGCACTGAAAGTTCTCCAATGAATATCTGGATATCAAACTCAATGGACTCATTACTTCATGGATGTTTGCCCTTGACTGTTTCTTCAGTGCCTCTGATTTTTCTAAAAGGCAAATAGGACCACTTCACTTCTTTACTTTAGGTAAAAGCTAGTCTCACTGTCACACATAGGGTGCTCTGTGATCTGGTATCCTTCCCCATTGGTCCATCTCTACCCTGGGCCCCGTCTAGTCTATAGCAACTCTTCTCTACATGTATCCGACATGTTCCAAGCCTTCCTGCCTTTGTTTTTATTTTATTTTATTTGTGAAGATACTGTACAGAGGGGTTACAATTACATGGGCAGAATAATGTGTACATTTCTTACCAAGCATTGCAGCCTCCTCCTTTTGTTTACCCTTCACATCCCTTCCCAGCCTCCCCCCTCCCTGCCTTCCTGCCTTTGTACGCTAAGCCTTTTCTTTACCTGAAATCCTCTACCCCTTTTGGCAAATACCTTTTCACTCTTCAAGTCTGAGCTTGCTCCACCTCCTCTCTCAAGTTCCCTCTGAGATGACTGGGCCAGCCCAAATGTTCCCTACTCTGGAACATTGTAATTGCATGTGAGCATATCTCCATGATCACAACAATTACACAGGCCTCTAATTGTTTTCACATTGTCTCCTTATTAGATTCTAATCTTCTCGCAGGCAAACACTTAATCTTCTCATCTTTATATTGCCTACTTGTAATGTATATACTAATCAAGTTCTGGATCAAATGACCAAATACAAATGAGTTCTTTCCACGTGTTGCTTCTGATTCCTCACACAAGGGGGAGCTATGCTCCACCACTGGCCATACTACATACAACACAATAATCAAGTATCACCGATAGAAGAAGGGATTTCACTAACCACTGTTCAGTGATTTCAAAATATTTTCAGAAAGCCTCTTCCAATATATTGGAGCCTCCAAAACTAGCAAAGACCCAAGCATGAATATCTGTGTTTAAGTGAATATGAAACATACATTTCAACCCTAGCTGAGGATGTGTAACTAAGGATTTATTAACTAAATTATTTTGTAAAATATGTGATGAGTGACATTTATTTTAAGGCTGAATTTTTTTATTGAATTTATGATGCCTAGATTTAAGCCATTTTTTTAAAGTAAAAGGCTGTAGGAGGAAGGGTCATAAAATGTAGAATATCTTGGTTAATAAGCTGGGAAAATAAAGCAAAGTTGTTCATAAGTAGACACATATTATGTGCTGGAATTTCAGAAGCAAATATTTTTAACACAAGCAAATAACAAATAATGCAATGTATTTTGCTTCAGACCATATAGTAGTACTATTCCTGCATTTTATTTTATTTTATTGTCAGTCATGGGGCCTGAACTCTGGGCCTGGGCACTGTCCCTCAGCTCTTCAGCTCAAGACTAGTGCTCTACCATTTGAGCCACAGTGCCACTTCCAGTTTTCTGATGGCTTATTGGAGATAAGAGTTTCATGGACTTTCCTGCCCAGGCTGGCTTTGAACTTCAATCCTCAGATCTCAGCCTCCTGAGTAGCTAGGATTACAGGCGTGAGCCATGGATGCCTGGCTCCTGCATTTAGTTTAATGAGAGGTTATAATTTTTTTACAAGAATAGCTCATCTCTATTAACATGCTTCAAAGAAACACTAACAAAAGTCTTTCTGTCTTAAGTACAGAAGGATAATGTTATTTCCAATTTTCCAAAATATTGCTTTAAAGTGACTAAAGCAAAAGAGGCAGTTGGCAAGCCTACAGTGGTAGTGCATGCCTATAATCCCAGCATTTGAGAGGTTGAGACAGGAGGATTGCAAGGTCGAGAGTGATTTCCAAAACAATAGCACAAAGCGTTTGGTGGATAAAATTTGCCTTTCTTAAATCTCTTCTGGGTCAAATTTATAATTTGTTCTTCCTTAATCTACATTTAATCTCATTTAACTTTAACTCTCATGAGCCTGAGCTCCATTTACTTTTCATTACTAAACTAACATGAAGAAGTAGGACTCAGAAAAAAAAGTCTCCGGAAATCCTGCTGTCTTTTGGGTTAGCCAGGTGTAGTGGCTCAAGCCTGTAGCCCTAGCGAAACTGCAGTCATGGTGCAAGGCCAGCCCTGAACTGAGACACCATCTTCACTAATGGCAGAGTGTGGTACCATGAATGTATCTGTCATCCCCAGTGACATGGGAAGGCATAGGTACCAGGATCATAGCCCTCTACCCACGGGGGATAAAGTGAGCCACAGTGTGGAAAAGAACCAATGTCAAAAAAAGAGTCTGGAGGTGTGGCTCAAGTGATAGAGCTTCTATTCAGTCCTCAGTACTATCTTTCTCCCTGTTGACATGTAAAGTCTGACAATGGAGTTGGTTCTAATATGATCCCCCCCCCCAAAAAAAAACAACAACAAAAAACTCATGTCAAGATTACCTTGAGCTGGGCGCCAGTGGCTCATTCCTGTAATCCTAGCCACTCAGGAGGCTGAGAAATGAGAATCTCAATTCAAAGCCAACAGGGACAGGAAAGTCCGTGAGACTCTTATCTCCAATTAACCACCAGAAATCTAGAAGTGCACTGTGGCTCAAAGTGCTAGCCTTGAGTAAAAGAGCTCAGGGACCGCACCTTGCCCCACTTGTCCCCTAGCTCGCCACTGTGGCTGGTATACATACACAGTGTATACTGACCTGAATAAGCAGGCAGCAAATACAAAGAAGATGTGGTCTTGGGGAAAATTCAGCCTGGTAAAGTGTCAGTCTTCATCACTCAAATCACATGCCTTTGTGAAGTGCTCTGTACCTTTACTAATCCCCTACAAAGAACCAGAAGGTGACACCCCTAAAACTGTCAAAGGCTCTGACTGGATAATGCATGGCTACTGGAATTTCATGCTTTATTTCTCTGGCTTGGGTAGATGTCAAAATTTATGACTCTGGCTAGCTGTCAGGAACGCCTGTCTTTGTCTTTCCTCTGGAGGAAGTGGAATGTGTGTGTGTGTGTGTGTGTGTGTGTGTGTGTGTGTGTGGTGTTGTTGTTGCATTAAAGGAGGTCTTAGGTGGAGAAACAGAACAAGATTTAAAGAGTGAGTTGGGACAGGGCTCCCCAGTGAGGGATGATGAGGTAAGCAGTCAGGGGAGGGGTGATTGTACAAGTGAACCTATCCAGTTAAAAGACAGTAAGGATTCAATATCTGTTAAGCAGGTGTCTTTTATAGCCTAAGGAACTTTCCCTTGCCTTCATTTCTTATCAAACTTTCTCCAGGGGGAGCCCCTGACTTGATCTTAATTTGGTCCAGCAAAACTCAAGCAACGATACCCCTAAAAATGAACTATGTCCTTTGTGGGCAGGGACAGGAGAGGAAAACTGAGGGAAAGCGAAATAAGGGGTGACATTGTTCAAAACAGGAAATTTTCTCGTTACCTGACTTATGAAATGCTTAACCCTTCTGTATAGCACCTTAATAATAATAATAATAAAATTGCATTAAAGAAAAATGTGCCCCTAGCGGCCAGTATAAGAGCAGGAACACTTCAAGGCCTCTGAACCCACTCTGCTAAGGGTAACCTCCAGTAGTCACATTCTATCCCACCCCCCCAACCCCAAAATCCAGACCACTGTTCCCTACCTTTTCCTCTTCCGAATCGCTGTGTGGCAGCCGGCGGCTGTGCTGGCTTCTGGCTGTGCAACCTCACAAGCGGGCTTTGAGTCTGGGGGAGTCAGGAAGGGGACCCGGTCCAGATGTCCTATCAACAAAAGCACGCACTTTTCTCCCGGTTTTTTGTTTCTTTTGGCGGGGGGGGGGAGTGGGGGCGGGAATGGGACTCCCTTCCAACCTCTACTCTTCTCTTCATTCAGGGCCAGGTTAGGACTGGCCAAACCGGGTCTGGGGTGCTCCCCCGCCCTGTCATCCCTAACCTTCTCAGACTGCGCCCGAAGGGAAGGATGGGTGTCCCAGGACAGGTTATCCTGTGTCTGCCCCCTTCTACAGCCACCACTACCCCTCCCAACCCCCTCCTCTCCCTCCCCCCCCATTCCCCATCCATGCGCAAAGCACTCGGTGTCTCCGATGCAAACCCAGCAATGCAGTTCCTCCCCCGGCTTCATCCCCCACCCGCCACGCCTCGGAGTCCTGTCTGGAGAAAGTTCTCAGGATGCCTAGCTTTGGCATCAGGACTGCTCCGTGGGCAGAGGTCGGATGGTCCCCTTCAGTTTCCGAGAGCTGACCAGGATGGAGAGGGTTTGGGGACAGCCTCTTCGCCTTCTCCCCACACCCCACTGCACCCTCTTTTGTCTTTTCTCCCACCCTCTCCTCTACCCCAACCAACTTAATAGAAGCGGGCCAGCCGCGCTCGTGGCCACCGTCGCTGAGCCCCGAGCCCCGCAGGGACACCCCGCATCTGAGCCAGGCGAGCCTAACACGCGGTCTCACCTCTCTGCGTGCGCGCCGGTGGCTTCCGAGCACCTTGGCGGGTCCCGGCGCCAGCGCTCCCGCCTCT